CCGAATTGTAGGATATCTCGCAATATTGAGAACTGAGATATGATAATCTCTGTTATCAAATAACCGGAAAGGTCCCGATTATCTGACGAGTCGAATGAGAGAACTCAAAGAGAATGGGAGAAAAATAATTAGAGAATAAATCGAACTTAACAGTTAGTTATACATACATTTTGAGGTTTGGTGATAAGATTGAATATCCATTAAATGAAATTAAATACTATTTAAAAAAAAAGCGTGCAAATCTGAAGGGATTCAGATTTTAACGTCGCACCAGAGGATTTGTTAAATTTTTATGCTCGCAGATTATCAATTTGCTCTTTGACTCACCTCTAAATTAATTTTTTTTGTCTTTTTAACTTTATTATTAACCATCGATTACTTCGTACTTAAGGCGCATAAAATTCAAGAGCAAAATCACGAAATATTAAAAAATAGCATGTCTTTAGAATTCCCAATAGAGTGTTAGGTTTGGAAATATACTTTCATTTTTTACTAATCGAAAACTGAAAATGCAAAAAGAATACAGATCTCTTAGAAGTTGTTATTAATTCTCACATGAGTTTCTTGATTCATACAAAGTCATAATTTCATAAGACAGATATAATGTTTTAAATTTTAAGCCACCTGTTCCGAACAATTTGAAATTTTTCGCTCTAAAACGCATGTAATGAATTCAGTTTGCTAGATCATTACTTGTTATTGTAATAATCAAGTACTGTGATAAAGTATGTGTATTAAGTACTGTGATAGAAATATTACTGAAAATTTTCACGATTCATTGGAGCACTATGTATTTGATACAGATTTAGTGCTAGCCAAATCCTCAAAAGTTTTCATTTTTTTTTCTTTTTTCAAAATTCACGAAGTATGAGAGCCGCGATTATTTTTTAGAAATCAACATGGTCCTATTGCAAGATAATCTTAATACGGAATTGTAATTAAATTTGAAAAACACTTGCCACTTCCTTGAACGGAGTAAAGTAAATATTGTAATCGTCACGAGTTTTGGCTATCATATTTCGACGAAAATGTCAATTTTGACCGACTTCCGAATCTAATTGAACGATATTTTTGCGTTCCAAAATGGATTTAAAATTTAAAAGGGACTTTTTTCGTAATGTCTGTATATACGTATTGAGGTATCTCGCGTAACTCAAAATCGAGTAGCCGTAAAACATCGGAAATTTGTATATGAGACTGCTATAACAAGTAGTTGTGCATATCCCTTTTTCATTGCAATCGTAAAATATATATGTTACCGTGAAAGACCAAAATTGGAGAATGTCGGCTTTCACCGGAGAATATCAACATTCACCAAATACGTCGGTGAAAGACCGAATATTTCACTACATTCTTGTATATTCGGACCTGTATCACAGACAATCACAGATATGCTCTGGTGAAAGTCGAAAAGAGAGGTCATAAAGTGCCATATTAGTTTAAGTTGTTGCAATAAATAAGATTTGAATCACATAATTTAGTAAGTTTTTTATGACTGTTATTTTATTTTCTCATTTAGAACGTACTGTATAATTTAGTAAGTTTTTAACTTCTGTTATTTTCCTTTCTCATTTTGAATGTATTGTGTGTTTTAGGTTCTCATGTTCGTAAGTTCTTAGTGCGTTTATTCGCGACTTAAGTTTCAAATGCGTTTATTCGCGACTGAATGACGGAGAAGAAAATATAATATTGTTATATGTTTAACATTCACCATTAGTACATGGTGAATGTCGACATTGACCAGTGTAAGTCAGAAATAAGAGTATTTGGAAAATATTTCGGACATACACCAAGAGACTATATGAATGTTGACATTCACCGGTGATAAGTCGACATTCTCCAGATTTCGTTGTTTCACCGTAACATATATATATTTTACGATTTATATTTATATATATATATATATTACGATATATATATCGGGTTACAGAGTGGCAATATATATGTGTATATTACACACATATATATTGCCACTCTGTAACCCGGCTGGGTGAGCTCTTTTTTTTTTTTTTTTAATTCTTATATGTAGGTAAATTGTGCTTTTTTTGCTTTAAAATTGATTGAATTATGTTATTCTAATGTTCCGGTTAATGTTTTTATGCCTTCAGTTAATCTGCATGCAATAGGTACAGAATAAACAGCTTAAACGTTTAACTGAAGCTAAGCCTGATGAGGCCGCCATTATTTTTTCATTTGAAACCCTTAGTCGAATAGTGAATTAAGTCCAGATGGTGCACTAACTTCAATATCCTCTTGCACAGTGTAACCAAATGTTAACTTTTAATTTTGTTCACCGAAAATTTTGTCTTTCTGCCAGCTGACCGAATTGCTTAGAAACTCTAATTTTAATCTAAAAATTGCTTTTTCTAAACCGTTTTATTAAACCGATTAAACCGTATTTGGTGTTTTAGGTTTTATCGTATGTTACAATTTGTAATAAAGATTGAGTTTTTATGTATACTTTGCCTGGCCTTTATCGTCTGGTTTGGTTTTATTGAGGTTACGTGAAAGTGCACTACGGTTACCAGCCTGAGGCAAAGGAGGCCTTGGCAGAGGACTTTCTAAATGCCTTCATGGAGCACTTTCTAAACGAAACTGGCTCGTATACACTTACTTACCAGTATCTGAGTTGCTGTACCGCCTGTCATATGACTATCAGCATTTGTACTTAATTGGAGCATTCTATTGTCGCTAGGCCCAACCAAAATTCTCTATGGAATATTAAAATTTGTAGCGGAATTTATAAAGTTACTTCAGATAAATAGTTATAGAATAGATATAAAGTTACTTCAGTTACAGAAGATGGGTGTTTGCTACCTGTGGTTATTAAAGAGACCCTGTCAAGACTTTGACTGTGTTGAAGGACGATTGTAGCAGTTTTATGCATTGTGATTCTGAGTTTATGTTTACTCTAGAAGTTTGTGGTAACTTGGGTATAAGAAGCTATTCAGATGCATTTTGTACTGAACAGTATCGACTGGGTATCTTAATGTACATCATATGTGCTTTTCACGTATTTGCAGAGTTCCTACGTAATATTTGCTTGTCACATTAAAAGTAGTCGGCCCACGAGCGGCCGAGCGGTAAAATCGCTGAACAATGGTAGTTCGGTCTGAGGTTCGAAACCTGCGAATGGGTGTTTTCGTGGTTTTCCCCATGTATAACGTGTATACAATCCAATTTCCCTTAGAAAGTCCTCCACGAAGGCATCCCTCTCCCTAGGCAGATTGCCCTCGAGGCTTGCTGTAATTAAATAACCTAACCTAACCTATTACGTGTTAAGTGCATTAGAAAGGTAATTATTAATACAAGTATGTCTGATAAGTATGCGTCAGTACAAAAAGTGTGAGAGCCACTCATTAGCTAATGCGGAATTTTCTTTTAAATTGCTGAGTCCTTTGACTAAATCTGAAAAATTTATATCTTGCGCTTTGCCGAAGGACAACACGTTTCTTTTAAATCGATGAGTTTTCTGATTAAATCTGAAATATCTTATGTTTTGTAAAATGGCAGCACATTGCTTTTAAATCGCTTAATTTGTTAATCAAAATTAAAGTTTGAATATAAAAAAAGTCTAAAAGCTTTCAGATTTTATATTACGTCCAAAGAGGCTTCACTTCCCCCATTTACACACACATACACGACAGCATTTGGGCTAAAGGACCACCGGCGGCAGAGCGATAAAAGTCGCTGAACACTTGTAGTTCGGTCCGAGGTTTGAATCCCGCGAACGGGCTGGCTGCATGGGCGTTTTCGTGCTTTTCCCCATGTGTAACGTGTATACGAGTCAGTTTCCCTTAGAAAGTCCTCCACGAAGGCATCCCTCTCATCAGGCAGATAGCCTTAGTGTGCTTTGCCATAATTAAATAAACCAAACCAAAACCATTTGGGCTAAAATTATTTAAAAAGTGACACATCTTTAGAATTTCCGATACTGCCGCCCAGATGGTATAGTGGTTGCGGGGGAACCGCCTGCGGTACCAAAGGGCCCAAGTTCCAATCCTGGAGAAGGCATGGTTGTATATGTCCGTCGCTTCATAGGAGGCAAAGGTGGGCCACCTATTAGGTGCCTCCATAATAAAGTGACCACCGCTTTTGTCCTTAGTAGTGACCAACGTCTATGATGAATTGCGTCCTCCATTGGGGGGGGGGATTTCTGATAGACAGTCTGGCGCGCTGGAGATAATATTTTTTTTTTTTTAAATCGTACAATGTTGCCATTGCTTGCTTTGAAATCATTAAGTTTGTTAATCAGAAAGTCGTCAAAGTTATACAAAATACGAAATAGATAATAAAACATATTCCAAATTCGGGCTTCCAGGTGCGCATATTCCGATAGAGGACTAAGTTATTCAAAATTGGATAGCTCCAGGTACAGTCGTTTTTTCACAATGCGAGAAATATACAATCTCCACCAATTTCACAATGCGAGAAATTAATTGGTGGATATTCTTCATTATTTAATTTCTTAAAAACAGGGCGATAATATTTGGTAGCAACTATTTGAAAAGTGAAGCGGACATTTATAGTGAACCGATGCAAAATGCCGTTTCGAGACTAATAGCAGCCCTTCTGGGATTATTTTTTATTTATGGGACTATTATAGCCAGAACATACATACAGATTCTTCATTATTTAATAAAGAGATAAATAAAAGTCTTAGGCAATTATTACGTTTGTTTCTAATTCGTTTTATTGGAGATTTTAAAAAGTGATACTTTCTGTAATTTCTTTCCCGTAAATTTCTCTGGTGCCTGGTTTCTAATAAAATTTTCAGAAAACAAGGTAAACTGAAAGAAGCAGTTATAGATATTGTACGATATTCATGCAGAAAGCATCGTAATTAAAAATTAAATCGCCAAACAGGGATTGGCGAGCTTTTCACAGATATTTCTGGCAACCCCCGATGACAGCTGTGCCAAACCCAAACACACTTAATCCAGGTGCGCTTATTGTGTTCATTCGTCAGTTTATCATTCCACGTATTAACAACGTTGAATTCTTCCAAATAATCACTCCACCCACTCGTATTCTCTTCGAACAATTATTTCGTTTAATTGTCAATTTTTGATCGCCGTCTCTTTTGGCGCTGTAAATTTTTCGTCCTGGCTGCTAACTGTGATTACATCTTTCTAAAGTTTAGGTGTACTAGAATACTGACCGATTGGCGGAGGAAATCAATCAAACGATTAATAATCAGGAGGAGCATCGAAAAGTTTTTCTTAGATTATGGTGAATATCTCCCTTTTTTCAACATGACTGGCGATGTTCTATTCTCAAACATGCTTTTTCGATATAGAGGTATGTATTATAGCAACGGTGTTTTTTTTTTTTTTTTTTTTCCTTTAGCAAAAATGAATATAATTTTATATTTATTTATTACCTCTGCCAAATGGTGTATATATGTTTTATTAAAAGCAGGCAGGCAAAATATTTTTTTCTGTTGACGAGAGGTACGATTAATCTACCAGCGCAAGAAACTTTCAAGGTAATAAATATATATTTTCATTGGTGTATAAAGTATTCCAATGAATTGGAAAAAAAATAATGATTTATAGAATTTTAAGTGATATCAATGGCATAGGAAAATCAGTTTTAAAACCGAGGTTAAATATGGCAAACATGCATCACATTTTATGAAATTTTTTTCTCGGCTGTTTATTTGAAGGATATCCGGTCATCTTGTCGTTTTAATGAAACTTTCGAATTTATTTTATCTTAAAATGAAGTTATTAATCATGTCTATAAATGACAGATTATATAAGCGAAAGAAACTCACAATATATGAAATTTTATGCCCCAGTCCGCAAAATCTGAAAAGTAATTAAAGCTCAACACTGAATTAACGCTTGTTTTGTTTTGGCCTGCTCTAAATGTACAAAGTCAGTAAAAATTAGGATCTTTTACGTTGCAAGACGGCCACGAGCGGCCGAACACTTAACTGAACACTGGTAATTCGATTCGAGCTGAACACTAGTAGCTCGATACGAAAAAGCTCGGTCGAAAGGACTGGCTGCTTAGGCGTTTTCGTAAATTTCCGCATATGTAAAGCGGATACGAGCCCATTCCCTTTAGAAAGCCCTCCACGGAGGCACGCCTTCCTTAAACAAATAAATAGTCCTCATGTCCTTTACCAAAGCGTACCGTTAGAAGACAAGACACACCTATCTTTCCTGAAAAGGTATCTGAAAGAATTCACCAACACGATCCTTCTAGCAAGAAAATATATTTTCGTCTTCAGCTCAGTTCGGCTGCGATAAAAACTTTGCTAAACATAACAGTTAAATTTCGTAAATTGGGATACAATAAACAGAGAAGAAAATCAACTTAATTTAAAAATTTTTTATTGGCAGTACATACTTCGAAAGCAAGAACATTTTTATGACACATAAAATCATCACATTGAATTTGCCCACCAGCGGCCGAGCTGTAAAGTCGCTGAACACTGGTAGTTCGGTACGAGGTTCGAATCCCGCGAACGGGCTGGCTGCATGGGCGTTTTCATGGTTTTCCCCATGTGTAACGTGTATACAAGCCAGTTTCCCTTAGAAAATCCTTAACGAAGGCATCCCTTCCCTTAGGCAGATAGCCCTAGTGTACTTTGCCATAATTAAATACACCACCACCATCACATTGAATTTAAGGTGGCCATAGCTAACCTTGACGCACTGATCGATTGGTGCGTGTTGTACTGTAACAAAAAGCATCGAAAAATTGTTTTGTAAGGGAAAATGAAATCTCTTTTATGCGTATGCAATGATAAATGGTAAATACTTTTTCAATGTTCAAGTCACTAAATTTTTTTTTATTTTTTTTATTTTATTTTTTATTTATTATTTATTTATTTATTTGAATAGAGCCAAAACGGCTCTTTACAGATATTAATTAAACGGAATATTTAATTAAATTGTAGTTTACTAGCACTCGCATTCGAGTTCATAAATGTCTGTAAATTCAAAATTCAAAACCGCGCAATTCTTTTGGAATCCGTACTCGTACATAAGGTGAACTGATCGTCTTCTGTAACACGAAATATTAAGACTGATATTTTTAAGAATGTATGTATTTTTAAATAATAATGTTTTTTTTAAATGCAAAGTTGCGTAGAAGTTAAAAAGAATGCGCCTAATTCTACGTATAAGTAATAGAAAGAAAAAAATCAGCACCAAATTATTGCAGTACTTTTTGGAGAGATTGTATGAATGAGTACAAAAAAGGTGAAAGAGTATACAAATGAATGAAAGTATAAATATCTTAGAATGAATGCCGAATTGTGGCAAATGGAATGGTTATAGAACAGCATGAACGGTCTATATATATCCTTACCATTAAAACATTGAGAAAATTCTTCACTTGCATATAAAATTCTTTTTAAATGATTGTACGTAATTTACCAAACTTCCCGTGAAATTAGGTCAATTTGCCATTTAAAAAACTGTAAGCTGTTTTTTGTTAATTACTCGTAAACCGGTAACATATAGTATGTACAATCAACTCCCTGTTATCCGGCCGTTGTCTAAAAGAAAGTTAATTTGTTTGCTATAGAAGGATGGAAAAATGGATATCACATGCCATGAGAATAAAGGAAAATTTCTGCGAGACAAAAAGGAGACGAAAAGGTATAGGAGAACAGCAGTCATAAAATATCATGTTAAGAATTTTTTAAATCCACAACAGTAGTTTAATTGTATGTAATGTGAGATATATAAGCATTTTTAAATCATACGTTAAAAATAAAATTCTATATCTTAAAAAAAATCTGAAAGCTTTCAGATTTTACATTAAGCCCAAACGGCCGTTTTCTTAACGTTTTGTGGGTTACCTTTCTTTATTAAATATCATGCTCTTCGCACTTAAACCCTAAAATTCAGTTCAACAGGGAAATTCAGTTCAACCAAAAAGGGAACTTCGGAGTGAAACTGGCTTGTATTCATGTCACGCATGACAAAACTCCCATTCGTTCTATGCCATTTGAACTCGAGTCGAGTCGAACTACTAGAGTTCAGAGGTTTTACTGCTCTACCGCTGATAGGCCTTGTGGGATTTCGGATATAAATATATAATTCAGGGTTAAAAAGATTTTACTTTTGTATAAACAAAATAGGTTGAATAAAATTATTATTGACATTTCGCGTAAGTTTATTTGGCTTATTTTTAATAATTTATCTGACAACTAACTTTAAAATTTTTAAACTTTTGGGTGATTAAAACCTGCTTTCCATTAATTAATGCTGGTCTCCTGCAGATAATTTTCCAATCTGCATTTGTATGATTGCGATCTAAGAAAATGATTTTCAAAGATGAGGAATTTGTTTGATGGTATAAAATCAAACGTTATCTCCGCTCTTTAAGTTGCTCCTCTTTATACCACGAGGCTACCAACGGCCGAGCGGTAAAGTCGCTGAACACTGGTAATTCGGTCCGAGGTTCGAATCCCACGAACGGGCTAACTGCATGGACGTTTTCGTGGTTTTCCCCATGTGTAACGTGTATACTAGCCAGTTTCCCTTAGAAAGTCCTCCACGAAGGCATCCCTCCCCTTAGGCATATAGCCCTAGAGTGCTTTTCCATAATTAAATACACCACACCTTTATACCACGAACAATTCAATTGCTAAACAAAATGTACACTTGGAGAGTGGATTATTTGTTGTGAGGAAGTATTCGAGCGGTTATTCGTGGAGGATTCTTTATGGGAAACTGGTGTGCATTAGCATCCCACACTGGAAAGACGAGAAAGTTCTACGGTGGCTGGTTTAGTTTGTCCAATAAAGACAAAGCGCTCAAGAGATATCTGCTTGTTAGGAGGAATGCCTATGTAAAGAACATTCTAAGAAAAACATCCCTGTATGGATGTTCCACATAAGGAAACTAGGAACACGCCATGCAGCCCAACCCGTTCGTCTGGTTCTGAAACAGGGTCGATCGAATGACTAGTGTGCAACGACTTAACAATAGCTTGAAATTTAAACAAATTGCTGCCTCGTTAGGCCTAACACCACTTTTAAGTTGTTAATAATTCTACAACTGTTGCATGCAGATTAAATTAAAGGCTTTAATAAAGTTGAAAAGACATAATAAAATTGTGCTTCATATGAAAAAAGCCTGTAGTCGCACATCTAAGACAGCTGTCTCTTATTTAGCAAATAAAGAACAAGAAACAGGAATAAAATGTTTCGCGTTTAATGAAATTGCAGAAATCTGCTGTGAAATTTTGCGCTTTCTGTTAAAATGAGTCTTTGGAAAATGCCATCGAACGGACTTCGGAAAACCACCCAAGAGGAGTGGGATAAAATTGCCATAACGGGTGCGAAGAAAAGGTTTAATTGCAAAGAAAATTCGAGCTAGAGCTCTAGCCAAGAATCGAGGCTATCAGATCGAAATATCCCCTTCAGGTATAAAAATTAACTATTAAAATTGTTCTCATAAATTGCGAAAGACCTACTGTATGTAGTATTTAATTTTCTGTATTGTTTCTTATTCTGTATATTGTACAGAACCCCAGACTTAAAATGAAGTTTAGTAGAACCTAGGATTCCTTAAACCTCGGCATTCTATCTATCAAACTAACCATTTTGTCTTCTGACCCATATATACTGCACGGGCGTGACTGGAAGATGAGATATGTTTTGCGGATCATTTGTCAATATTTATCAGAAAACAAAACCTTGAAATCAATGTCATTATTATATAAAATCGTATCATTAATATATAAAAACACACGTGGGAAATTTAATCCTTACAATTGTTACCCAAATGTGAAGTTGTATTTCGCCTTTGATTTTACATAGTTAAAAATCAATTCAGAACTTATTTGTTGAGATTAGACGAAATTTTAGAAGTAGAAAATAACCTTATACATCCGGCCGCAGACCAACTGTCGAGCCAGCGGATGGACCTAATGAACGGTAGGCTTATAATCAAACTGATTGCTTCCTTTCAGGAGAACGCAGTTCACCGTTACTGAGAGCACAAGAGCTCTCTTTCAAGGTAATATAAATTTTGATGATTTTTCGAGTATGCTTTAAGTTCCGAAAGATAGTTCTTTTGGACCATCTTTGCTTTGCATCTGATAACATCAAGTTTGTGTATGTGTAAATAATAATGAGGCGTCAGAGTCCAGTAAAGAATTCAATGTCTTCTACATGGGAATATCACAAAATGCAAGTGCGAGCAGAAATGGATGCTGAAAAATTATGTGTAGTTTTTGTAAGACAGAGATACTAGACGCCTACGTAAATCCAATTACAAAGCTGGCGGGCAAACTAGCAAAGGAGGGCTGTGGCCTTTTAACTCCCTCCT